AGGGGTTTACTATTGGGTGAAGTTGTGAGAGTTGTCCGCGGGACTTACCCTCCATCTCCTTCGGACGTCGTCGCTTGCGTCTGTTGGGATGAAAAAGGGGTTGTCATACTGCGAGTCTGCACTCCCCCGTGCGGACAATGGTCTCGTCTTGCCGAACGATTGAACGCGCACAAGCGCTGCTCCTGCTCCTCCTGACTTTGACGGCGCGGAGTCGCTCCGCAGGTTCAATGCTGATGTAGTCGTGGGCGCCATTGCCACGGAACACTGAACACCTTAGCTTGTAGCAGTAGCAGTAGCAGAGGGCGTAGGCTGCAATGCAACACCGATCCAGGCCACAAATAGATGCTTGAGCTTGAGCTTGAGCTTGAGCTTGAGCTGGAGAATGAGAGCTTGAGCTTGTGAATGAGAATGAGCTTGAGCTTGAGCTTGAGCTTGAGCACGAACTGCAATCAGTTGTTCTCATCTACTGTTATTTATAGACACTTGAGCTTGAGCTTGAGCTTGAGCTTGAGCTTGAGCTTGAGCTTGAGGTAACAAAAAGACACTTGAGCTTGAGCTTGAGGCAACAAAAAGACACTTGAGCTTGAGCTTGAGCTTGAGCGTGAGCTTGAGCTTGAGGCAACAAAAAGACACTTGAGCTTGAGCTTGAGGCAACAACAAGACACTTGAGCTTGAGATTGAGCTTGAGATTGAGATTGAGATTGAGATTGAGATTGAGATTGAGATTGATCGTGAGCTTGAGCACGAACTGCAGTCAGTTGTTCTCATGTACTGTTACGTATAGGGTGCTGTGCTCCTAATGAAGGTCCATGATGATGCTGAATCTTGGGGGTGTTGGTGCTATTGGAGGTTGCGGTTCCCATCCCCCGCTATGGAGATGGAGATCAAAAAAACTGCCCCAGCTTACTCCAGCCATATATATTCAGGCTCTCGGGGCACTGACCTTTGAGGCTTTGACAGTATCTCGTACGGAAACTGGATCCCGTACGGAAATTTGGATCTCGTACGGAAATTGGTCATCGAGGTCGCAGTCGCCAAGCCTCTGCCGGCTTTACTAAGATGCACAACGATGACCCAGCAAAAAAAAAAAAAAAAAAAAAAGGAAAAAATTCCCCGACGACATCTGTCGATTTGACGCTGGCCGCACTGCAGTTGGTTATCATGAGGAGGTCTTTTCACCGCCGCCCTACCAGGCTACCGGTAGCCAACTTCATCAGCCATGATGATGATCCTGGAAAACGAATCCGCGATGATGCTGGAGGACGGGAGTTCAATTCCCCCTCAGGTTGGAGGTCAGGTGCTAATTCCAAAACCTGGGGCCCAGCATCAATGCGACGTGTGACTGACCGTCGCCGAACCGCAGAGTGTTGGTGATGCCTCCCTGGTCTTCAGGTTTGGACCTCGGGTCTGAAACTTGGGCGCAGGAGGATTGGTCCTTGATCTTCCCCCCCAATCGGGTTTTAAAAAAATCAGATTCACTTGATGAAATGGTCATCCTGGCCCATCCTGACCATTGATTTGTCTGACTGATGATCGCGGCTACGCCCATCAGCCACGTGGCGTCCGTTTAAATCACTCCTAATTTGACTGAGAGGGGTGGGACACGATGGTCTGGCAAAACCCGCTGCAGAGTCAGCTGTGCCCATTATCTGATATGGATAAGGATATGGATAAGGAGATGGATAAGATAAAAAAAAAGAAAAGGAGATACTAGGGATGCTGTTATATATGGATAAAGCTCGGTGAAGGGATGCATGAAGATGATCCGATGTGCATTGATTGCTATCATACGGAAACAGGGCAGGGCAGTATAGGGCAAATACGCAGTTATTCCTCCCCCCCCTTCCCCCCCCCCCCCCCCAAACAAAAACAAAAACAAACAAAAAAAAAAAAAATAAAAATTGAAAGAATTCTAAAATTTTTTTTTTTTTTTTTTTTTTTTTTTTTTTTTTTTTTTTTTTTTTTTTTTTTTAATGTTTCTATCTTGTGGTAGACTTAATAGAACTGCTTAATGTTTCTATCTTGTGGTAGGCTTAATAGAACTGCTGGCTGGACCTCCGCGTCGGGGCGTGTTTGTGGTTGCGTGAGTGCGTTTGCGAAATCGCGCGCGCGCGCGAATTTGCGTTTGCGTTTGTTGGCTTGCAAAAGCACGCGCGCGCGCGTGCGAGAGAGCGAGAGAGGGAGAGAGATTAATTGGGAGAGGATCAGGTCTTGGCAGGTGTGGAGCTTGGAGTTGACGGGCCGGTGGGCGGGGGGTGGAGAGAGAGAGAGAGAGAGAGAGAGANTTTTTTTTTTTTTTTTTTTTTTTTTTTTTTTTTTTTGTGCTTTGCGGTTTTGTCCTCAACGATATCGTTGGACTTTTGACGAGTCTAAAGAATCGCACCGAGAAGTCGGGATCGGGATGCCTTCCTTGCTTAACCCCCGCGATGATTGACGGTTGGGTTCAATCCACGCATCGGAGGCAATCAAGGTTGCGACAAATTGATAGCTCTGGAATGCAGGGGTCGATTTTCAGTGAAGAAGGGGGTAATTAGGGTCTCGTCCTGCTGCCTTGAATGCTATGATTAAGGACTTAAAAGATTCCACATGGATGCATCGACCGCGTCAATCAACCCTACCAATCAACGGCGCTCGTCTACTGCCCTCCCTCGTGAACGTTTGATGGGTTAAGGTCACGCACGAATGAAACGGAGGTAGACTCCGTATCGCACTCTGGCTTTAGTAATAAGTAATAATATCAGGTCACTAATGACTTCCACGTGGACGGACCAACGGTGGCAATCAGCGGTGCCAATCAACGGTCCCAATCAACGGTGCCAATCAACGATGCCAATCAACGATACCAATCAACGATGCCAATCAATGGCGTTCTTCTCGTGTTCTCCATCTTCAGCTCTGGGTGGGTTGATATCCAAAACGTGGGAATTAAGGTCACGCACGATCTGATTGATTATTTCATCGTGGACGCATCAACGGCCCCAATCAACGGCGCCCGATCAGCGGTGCCAATCAACGGTTCTAATCAACAACTGTACTAATTAACAACGGTACTAATCAACGGCGCCAATCAATGGTTTTAATCAACGGCGCTCTTCCCGTGTCCTCCCTTAGGTTGACATCCAATAACGTGGGAATTAAGGCCACGGACCATATGATAGATGACTTCCACTCTCATCAACGGCGTCAATCAACGGTGCCAATCAGCGGCGCTTGTGAGCATACCGTGAACGAGCAGGACGCGTCCTGCCTTCTCTTCCCCTGAATACAACGTGCAGTCATTATAGCTGTATTTAGAGTGAGAGATAGCCCCCAAAAAATACACTTATAATGACCCCGTACGTTGTATTCGGGGGAAGAAGGCAGTTAAGTACTTCGCCACGAACTCAGCTCTTCATGCACAGGTACCTCCAACGTACCTTAGCTTCACGTTTAGCATCAATCAGCACGACGTACTCTCACTAATTAGCAGTTGCCACTGAGCTATCTGAGCTTGATGCACTTAAGTCTTCTTGTTCAGCGTGCTCTCCGTACTTCAAAACATGTGGTGATCAGCACTCGCAGCAGCTTGATGCACTCTTTAAGTCCGCTTACTCAATGTGCTCTCCGTAGCTAGCAAGTGACATTTAGCTCTCGGATCTTGATGGACTTACTCTGCTTGCTCAATGTTCTAAGGATACTCTTCTTGCTCAAGGTACTTAAGTGTGCCTGCTCAATGTATACTAAGGATACTCTTCATGCTCAAGGTACTTAAGTGTGCCTGCTCAATGTATCCTAAGGATACTCTTCTTGCTCAATGTACTAAGGATAGTCTGCTTGCTCAATGTACTCAGGATACTCTTCTTGCTCAATGTACTACGGATAGTCTGCCTGCTCAATGTACTAAGGATAGTCTGAACTTAACTTAGTCGCTCTGCTCAATGCTCTGAAGCATAATTGGCTCATTGCACTTGGTCCCAAATTCCGTCGTCCGCCGAATAAAACGGCGCACGGTCACATTATGGCTGTATCTAGACTGATAGGTGGCCCAAGTACAGGCATAATAGCCGCGCGTTCTATTCGGGGGGACAGGACTGGCCTTGAACTTACTTCGTGCACCGATCTTCAGAGAGCATCATCAACGACACAGGCCGCAGCCGTGCTTTGTGTTTTGCTAAGAAAGCACGCATCTGGTCGGGAAATTGGCGACATTCGTGATAGCTTTATTAGGTCTAGGCACCCGTAGCGCTTGATGATGGCTGCTCATCCCATGTGCCACTGTAGTCTTCCCCCGAATAGCGCGCAGGGTCATTCTAGCTGTATTTATTTGGGCGAACATTCAGTCCAAATACCATCTATAACGACCTCGCGTTCTATTCGGGGGTTGACGCTAGGGCTTGATGGAGTCTATCTCTCTGCTGAGCCCACGTGGCACTCACCGCTGAAGTTCCAAGGTTAGGGTCCCGACTAGGACGCCCCGAATAGAATGCGGGGTCTGGAATGGATAATCATCAGGAACATGAGGCCTGCAGTTCCCTCGTCGCCCCGTAGCAGCCACATCAGTGCTCAGCCTCCAACGAGGGGACATGCGGGAGCTGTACCCACTAGCAGGTAGGCGATACCGGCCAGGGGTCAGCCGGTAGCATCAGGACCGAGCTTCTTCGATGGGTCAGTCTCTGTGCTTCCCTCCAGTCCCCACCCCCCCTATGAATATCAGAAGTCTCTGCTCAATGCCACTCGGGGGGCCCAACGACACGTGCCACTTGGGGAGATCACGGACACATCTCTCTGCTCAATGCCACTGGGGGGACCAACGACACGTGCCACCCCACATTGACTTACCGTGAGGGCACGGGTGCGCAGCCCGTAGTTCATTTGTTTACGGGTAAGGTAGTGATTATGCTATATGTATGTTTTGTCATGTTCGCTATATATAACTCGAAGAGAGTGCGTGTGCGGTCCCGGTTGGTGCTTTATTGACGATGTTCATGGGACGCTGGACCCAGTTTCCAACAGGTGGCGCTCCCCATCAATAGACATGAGAATGTGTGTGTGTGTGTGTGTGTGTGTGTGTGTGTGTGAG